TGACAGACAGGATCATCGATGAACTATAAAAATATTTTCTTTGACTTTCATCACATGAGAAAAAGGGGAACAAACAGGACAGTGAGTTTCTTATACTCAGGTGGAAAAAGACGAGAAGAGAGAAGTTCTTCAGAAAATGTAAGGGCTAGAATTTTGTGCTCACACAGATTTGAGGTCTGAATTTATACTCAGTGAAGGGCATCCAAAGTGATACTTTTAAAAATAATAATTATTATTTCTTTTGATGTGTGTACTGTCAAATCTGGTCTGACTGGTGCAGGAGGCGATTGTTCCTCCTTCTCCAGCAGAGCATCTGGTGGATTTGAACCACATACCTCTGGGATTGCAGTGCAGCTTCTTGCCACTAGGTCACCAGAGCTCGCCTAAAGTGATACTTTATACTTTGATGTCTTCCTCAGCACTGTTGCCTCCTTTGATGTCCCCAAAGCAAGTACAATGCTCTGTTGTAAGCACTAAACATCTATTGACTATTTTGAAAAATTTATTGGTTTTCATACAAAAATTTTTTTTTCTTTTAGAACTGAATTCTGTGCAAAGTCAGGGCGTTCTTTCTCCCTGAGTTTGGCTGGTGGTTTAGAACCGCTGATCTTCTCCTGAATCTACTGCATCTTGAAGGTGTTTCTAGAATGATAATAGTTCAGGGAATCCTGTGGGGCAGTTCTGCAAAGGTCGTGAAAGTCAGAATGGCTCCCACAGCCCTCAACACTAAGAGCTGCATAAAAAACCTAACAACTGCCTTCAAGTCCATGTCTGACCTTGTAGGACAGAGCAAAACTGCCCCGTAGGGTTTCTGAGGCTGTGAATCTTTCCAGAAGCAGCTGGCCTCCACTTTCTCCCTCTGAACCTCTGGTGGGTTCAAACCCCTGACCTTGTGGTTACAGCTGAGTGTGTCCCCCCTGTGCCAGCAGGGCTCCTGAGAGTCTAGATACAGAGTATCTCCCTAGTAGCCTCTCCTGAGAGTCTAGATACATAGTATCTCTCTAGTAGCCTCTGTGTGTAACTGTATATCTATATATAGTGTAGAAGGAGAAGTAACTGTAACACAGTGGTATCTGCAGTAGATACATTATAACCAGTTGTGATTCGTTTATTTCTAACTCCCAGAGACCCTGCAGGACAGAGCAGAGCTGCCCCCTAGGGAAGCCTCCACTTTCTTCTTTGAAGCAAGTGGTGGATGTGAATATAATTGACACAAAGCAGAAAACTTCCCAGTCTTGAAAAGGTTAAACCAGATATGTATTTTTGTTGTTGCATGCTGTCGAGTTGAGTATAACTCTTAACCCTCTGAGCAGCAGATCTGAGCCGTGCCATGGCCTGGGCTGTCCTCCTCATCTCTGACACACTAGAGCCCATTGCTGCAATCCCCATGTCAGTCCAACTCATTGAGGGTCTTCCTAAAGAGCTGTAAAAATACCAGGCCTGGAGCTTTGGTGGCACAGTGTTTAAAATGCCCGGCAGCTGCTCAGAAAGTCCAGTTTGAACCCACCAGCTGCTTTGAGGGAGAAAGCAGAGGCCGTCTCCTTCTGGAAAGATTCACAGCCTCGCAGACCCCATAGGGCAGCTCTGTTCGGTCCTGAAGACTTGCTGGGAGTCAGAATTAATAGCAGTGAGTTGGGGGAGTATTACTTAAAAACCCAAATGTGAAATAAAAACTGCACCCATTTGCTCTCTTAGTTTGTTGTTAAGGGGGCAGGGGAGGGACACTGTCCTCTATTTCCATCAAGTGCAATAACATACAAAAAGAAATCGGAGACGTGGAAGCCTATTTGAGGCAGACAGGAAGAAGGCAAAGGGCCGTCCGTTCCCTGTGCCGGACAGGGCCAGCTGATGTGTCCAGTTGGAACGGCATCAGTCCCGCAGCCCTACAATAAGCAAGGCAGAATGTGTCTTGATTCAGAAGGTGGCTGTGAAAATCAGCTCTGCAGAACAGTGTCAAGAGAGGAGGAGAGAGGGATGGGAGGAGAGGGAGGGAGAGAGATGAGAGAAGGAATGAGGAGGGGAGAGAGGAGAGAAGGGGACCAGGGACAGAGACAGCACACAGATGCAGGTCCACCAGGCTGACCAAGGGCCAGAGGCCCTGCGAAGCATCAGGCAGCCTGTCACTCCACCCTGGGAAGACCGAGATGCACAGGCCAGGTGCCCCATAGCTTAGGACACTAGAACCATGGAGAGACCCCAGCAGGGGGCCCTGCCAGATGGCGCAGGGGGCCAAGACTACCTCCATCTCGTCCTGCAGAGCCCGGTCCCTCCTGTCTCTCCTGTCATCCAAAGGGGACTCCTCCCTGTGTTCCCAGGTGTCCACAGGCACGTCGCCACCAGCTCGCCCCTCCGTCTGTGGTGGACACAGGTGTGGTCAGCACTCTGTCTGGCCTGAGTGCTCCCACGCAGAGCCCGCGAGAGGGGGTCACCAGCCCTTTCTTCCACAGCATGTCTGAAGAGATACAGACTTCCCACCTTTGGGGGTTAATACCACCTTGTCCATCTGTACTCTTGGGGAAACTTCTAACCAGACAATCAGTTAATGAATTCTTGTGTATCATAACAAACTGATCCCGGCTGAATTTGCTTTGCACTGTTAACCCAAAGATACAGATTGCTCCTTAAACCACCCCCGGGCCGACAGAAAACAAGTGAGTAAGAACAGAGTGTAGAGAAACAATCCCAGAGCGTTCTCCTCCCACGTGAGGGGCCTGGGTGCTGGGGTGGGGGGTGCAGCAAGTGACAAGGGGAGCAGCATATTGGAGGAGTATCAATACCAAGGGTGTTTCAGCCTCTGCGGTGTCTGAGAATCCCGGGGAGGGTGACGGTGTGCGGTCACACGGGATCCCAGCATGGGGGTCAGGCTCAGGGTGAACGGCCACCTTTATAAAAAAATAAAATAAAATGAAGGTAACTCAGGACACACCTTTATTTCAGTGGAAGCACCACACATATTATATGGATTTTTGGATATGGGAGCGCTGGGGGCCGAGTGATAAGAAGCTGTGCTGCAATCCCAAAGGCACTGGGTTCAAATCCACCAGCTGCTCTGTGGGGGAAGGGTAGGCATTCACCTCCCGTGTGATTTACTGTCTCTGAAAACTCGCTGGAGGGTTAAGCTAGGAGTCAATTTCAATTCAATGACAATATTAGTACATCTATCTATCTATCTATCATCTATCATATCGATCTATTTCAATCTATCTATATTTTATCTATCTATCTATCTATCTATCTATCTATCTATCTATCATCTGTCTGTCCATCTGTCTCTCTGGTCTACCTGTCTGTCTATCTATCTATCTATCTATTATCTATCTAACATCTATATCTATCTATCTATCTATCTATCTATCTATCATCTATCTATTATCTATCTATCTATTTCAATCTATCTATATTTTATCTATCTATCTATCTATCTATCATCTGTCTGTCCATCTGTCTCTCTGGTCTACCTGTCTATCTATCTATCCATCTATCATCTATCTAACATCTATATCTATCTATCTATCATCTATCTATCTTTTTCAATCTATCTATATTTTATCTATCTATCTATCTATCTATCTAT